CGCCACTTGTTACAGTGCAAGTCTGCTTTAGAATTGGAAAATTCTGCTACTTTGATTTTCAAGGACAGATTCCTCTTGTTTAGATTTTGTGGGCCAAGGACAGGGCCAGTGTGCAGGAGGGAGCACATAACACCCTTGACCATGATAATTTCACAACCTGTTAATGTTTTCTTTTCAGGAAGGTTTGTCCCACAGTGTCTGCAGGACAATTGCTTCTTGGAGGGAATTGTGTGAAATGGGAAATAAATGTAGAACTTGACCAGCGTGACATGAGGTCATTTCTGGACACATAGCCACTTTCAGCAGAGCCAGGGAACACACAATCCCCTTGGTGGCAAGGGAGATCCTACCTAGGAGGAACCATTTGTGGTGCAAAGTCCCCCCACCCCAGCTCATATCATAAACCAGTTGTATACCTTTCCCATCTAGTTGCCGACCTACGGTATAAAGAATCCAATACCTTCTTATCCCAGCCACAACCAAGCTGCATGGAGTTCGATCCCTTCCTTAGAAGAAGGCAGTGAAAGGACTGACCTTTGGTTAACTCAGCTCTATTTTCCCCCTTAGCTCTTGCTGGGGATACTGAGGCACTGAGATCTGGTCCACCCACTTAAGCACTGAGTGGAGGTGTCAGGCAGTGAGTTGGGCTCCAGTAGCTCTGACTGTCACCCTGCTCTGTCTCTCTGAGCGGGCTGGCACTGGGGAGGGGGTGGGGCACCATGTGGGTGGTGGGTTGGGTGCAGAGCTCTCCCATCTGAGTGTCATTCTGGGCCCCAGGCCAGGCATTTGGCTTCCTCTCCAAGAGAGTCAAAGGCTGAAGCTGCTCAGACAAAGGGCCAGATGAAAGCTAATGGGGAGCTCAGTGACTTGGGCTCCCCCCTTCCTCCTCCCAGGCAATGGGGGCTCAGGTCCTTGGCAGCAGAGTGCAAATCAAGACCTCGAGCCCAGCTCAGTGCACATCCCATTTGCCTTTTTTATTTTCCTGGCATCCCGGCTCTGTCTTCCTCCCCTCACTACCTCCCACCTAGGGTGCTGTAAAAAATGCAAATCAGTAGGATTTTAAAATTCGAGCCCATGCCAGGAACACCCACAAACCCTCCATTAAGGCAGATCCTGAGATGGGTGGTGTGGTCCTCAATTCCAAGCACAAAGAAGAGGATGCTATTAGATTATTTTCCCACTGTGAGTCTGGGACCTCAGATATTATCTGTGATGATCTCGACTCTTCTGTCTGGTATTGAACCCATGAATGGGGAAAATGAGAATTACATATGTGTGGGCTGGAACCAGCAATCCCAGACTGGCATGAGATGCATGCGAAAACTAGTATGGATAGGGGTATGGTGTGGATTCAGAAGAGCAATAGACGCTTCTCTCACCGAAGAGAGATGTCTCTGGGTCAGTAACTTTTGCATTTGAGTGTCACCACAGAAAGAGCCTCAATAGGAAGGACTAGAAAAATGATCATTGACCTGGGAAGGCAGGCCCTAGAGTAGGACAGCCGGGAGTGCCAGCGACTTGGTCAAGAAGCCTCAATGAGAACACCTGCGGCTTCAAGCGCTGACCCTCCCCCCACCCTGCAGGCCCCCACACACTGCCAACACACCCTCGTCCCCAGGAAGAGCAGCCTTTGAAAGCAAGGGTGGAAAAGGCTGTCACGGATCTGGAGGGCCACGGGCTGGCACTTTCCAGATTCAAGTCTGCAGTTGAGCGCCTGTGCGTCCCTGGTTTGAAAAGTAAGAAGAGAGGGGAGTAAAGAAAAGTGAGACTGAGAGGAGTCGATCAGAGAGAGACAAACTAAGAAAGACAAAAAGCCAGAGACGGAGGAAAGACGGGAGAGAGCCTGGTTGACAGAGGTGGGCGGAGCAGAGAAGGGAGTGCGTGTGCATAATATCTGTCTCAATTCTGTGGTTGAAGGAACAGGAAAGGTGGCAGGTGGGGGTGGGCGGTGTATGAAGTCAGTGAGAATCACTTGGCTCCCCCTCGCAGTTTTAGCAGGTACCCGCCCCTTACCTTCCGTGACTCCTCCCCCGCCCCAAGCCCTCAGAAGGAGCTACTTCTCCAGTCCCTGCACCCCCCGGGCCTCCGCACGTTCCCGGCGCACTCCCCAAGCCCAGACCTGACATCTGGTTGGGCCTCCGCAGCCCCGGCTCGCGATCTGCCAGGCGGCGCCCCTCCTCCCGCGCGGGCCCCCCCCCGCCAGCCCCCTCCCTGCTGGCAGACAAGCCCGGGCAGACAGCCGGCCAAGCCTGCCCCCGCAGCCGCGCCAGGGCTGCCAAGCCCGGCAGAGCTGGGGGCCCGGGCGGTGCCAGCTCCCCTCGAGCGAGCGGTCCCTGCTGACCTCCTGCGCGGGGCCGGGACCCGGCGTCCCGCCTGCCCGCGAGCTCCAGGCTACCCAGCGAAGCCCGAGCACCCGGTACCGGCGTCCGGCTCTGTGGGCCTGTCGCTCCCGCTCTTTCGCTGTGTGCGGCGCTTAGTCTCACTACGTGTGCCCGTCAGTCGCCAGCGTGTCCCCTTTCTCCCGCGGATTCTCAGTGTCACATTCCAGCCTGGATACCTTGCTCTGTCACTTGTTCATGTCTCGCCACAGATGTGCTCGAAGTTTCCTCGTGGCCCCTTTTCCTTAAGGGAGGCCCTGCCCTCTGCCTGCTCTCACCTCCCGTCTTCCTCCGTCTGGCGCACGCCCTGGCTCCCGGGGCTAGAACCGGGGCTAGGTAGGTGCTGTCCCGGCGTAGCAAATTGCCTGCCAGCCCCTCCGTTCTTACCAGCTCCTGTTTGAGGCGACGCAAATAGCAATCCATTTCCCCACTCTCCTTCCTCACGCGCCCATTTGCAGGGCTCGGCTCCACGAGAGTCCCCAGGTGGGAACACCGGCCCCACTGGAAACTGCGCGCCGGGCGGGTACCTCGCCCTTGCGCTCAGTGCCGATCGCAGCGCCCAGCGTGACAAGGCTCTGCTCCAAGGCCGGGACTTAGAGCAGCTTCCTCCCGGCTTGCGCTCACTGTCTGGGCTGGGGGCGGAGGGAAAAGTGGGACAGCCAATTAGGATGCAGCGGTGAATGTATTCAGCCAATGAGAGGAGCCGCTTCAG